CACATATAGGGGTATGGGAAGGAAATATTCTTGGAGAAGTTTTGTTTGTTTGCTTTTTTTTAATTTCAGCTATTTGAAAGTGCTTAGGAGTTTGAAATGTTAGAAGTAGTCCCTGGGGCAGATGAATTAGTGAGCAGAGTGCAGGTGAAGCTATTTTATCACACCTTTCATCAGTAGATCTCAAAGCGCTTTTCAAAGGAGGTCAGTATCATTACCCCCATTTTGCAGATGGGGAAACTGAGGCTGAGAGTGGGAAATTGACTTGCCCAAGGTCAGTGGCAAAGGTGGGACTAGAACCCAGCCCTCTCCTGAATTGCAGTTCAGTGATCTATCTACTAGGCTACACTGCCTCCCTGAGAGTGCAGGTGAAGAGCTCAAAGTAACATGATAAATGCTTTTTTATCACATGGCCATTCCCACGACCAGTTATGGCCCCCAATCCTGCAAACACATATGCTCCTGGGACTCTGCAGGACAGTAAAAGTTAAGTGCATATGCAAGTATTTGCAGGATGAGGCCTGTGTGATTACACATACACACAAGTTAAAATAATATTCAATATGCATTAATAATATATATTTAAGTGTGAGCAATTTAGAAAATCTTGCCTTCTCGTCTAGAAAACACCTGCCTGTTCCCCCAAACAGTTTGTAGATGGAGGCGAGATATCTCTATCAACCTCTGAATGGATCTTGCTTTTGGTGTATGGCCACTGGCCAAGGTGTCAGAATATAAATCATATGGAGTTTCATGTTGAAATGAACACACAAATGTATCCGGTATTCTGCTAACATGAATTACACTGCGCAGTAAAGTATGTAAGTGTATCTGTAAGATAAGAAATAATGTGTTTTCCATGTTAAAAATATTTAATCATATTACAGGCTCTATAGCAGCCCTAAAAAGAACTAAAGCACTGGAAAAAAAGCAGTCAATAACTGCTGTGTCTGGACTTGCCTATTTGGGATATTTAGCCATAGTTTTTCTCTGAATATAAATTATAATTAGCATTTTTTTCTGATGAAAACACTGTAATTGTTAGCAGGAAGACATACAGGAATGAAGGCTCTAGTAACTTAAGATCTCTGTTGCCACTAAAACTGGAAAACAAAAGCTTAGGAAGCATGAGAGGCTATAATGTTGTTGATACTTCTCTCTCCCGCCCCTTTGCCTCACCCAGCTGTTTTAAATAGCTAGAAGAAATTAAAATTCTTAAAGACTTGCAGGATGTTTGGCTTGCTGCCTCTTATTTCCACTCCTATGCCCCATGACTTGAAAACTTGCCTGAAATTTATAAATTCCCTGTTCAGAAATATGATTTTGGCCTCCCCCCCCAAGAATTCCAGCAACGAAACTGATTCCGTGTTTGCTTTGATTATTGCCAAACTGCTGCTAATACGGCTGCGTGCTTGCCTTTCTCTATTGATCGTCCTGCGCTAGGCGTTTTCCTCTGTCCGATAACATTATTCAATTACATGATGATAAACATCACTCTGAAATACAAACGGGAGAGCTCGGGGCTCTTTATTAGTTCATTTCAGGCGATCCTGCTTGTTTGACTGCGCATCCCCTCCCCCTTTTACAGTTTTCTGCTATTCTTCACTAATTCTAGTGATTTGAGAAATGACCTTTAACCCAAGCAGTTTGCAGACTCCTGGAGGGGATAATAGAAATGCCACAGTAAACCAAAGGCAATAAAATATTATTTACTAGGCATAAAACTAAGGTTGGCCTTCCTAAAGGGAACGAACCAAACCCCCTTATTTTCTCCCCCGCCTGGAATTGGAAGTTTGGTGATCCATGTAATATATAAATTCCATATCACAGTTTCTGCTGAAGGAACCAAATCTCAAGTTGTGAGGCGTGATTTATTTACCATAGAATATATATGAAGTATTTTCACTCAATAGTATAAAATCAACGTATTAATGTATTACACGGGTACTACGCCTGTAGTGGTGTGTGTGTGTTTGTGTTTGAAAGAGAGATCAAAATGCCTCGACAAAAGTTTGATTTTTTAAAAGAGCTGCTATTTCATTGCGTCGGAAGCTGTGTACTGTGCCCACTTAGGTGCATATCCCCAGCTGGGGACTTGGCTCTTTTACTTCATTTGTTGAGGTTTAGTCCTTGCTATTGATAAAAGGGAGGAGTGACTGTTCTCTTGTGCCTGATGAGAATAGATACATTCTTTGAACTCCTCACTTTTCTGTTAGATATTGATTATCACGGACTATCCTTGCAAATAACTGATTACACATCCACTGAAGGTTTTGAAGATCTACCTAAAACCAGGGCGAGGTTTGCTAAATAACAGGAACAGCTAACAAGAAGAACAATAAATTGTGTTGATAACAGACCGCTCTCTGCTTCAGGTGCTTAGATAAGATTCAAGGTGGTTAGCAGTAATCTGAAGTACTTTATTGTCCCTTAAACCTAAATCTATCGGAATAAAGGATCTGTGCTTTTTTTACAGTCCTGTTTTACACAGTGTCCGTTTGATCATTCAATCAGGGGCAAGTGCAAATAAGGCCTCTCTATAAACTTTCATCTCAGAATGAGGTTTGGTACAGTTCTTATGTACATTACACATGCATCCGTGGTTATGTGTCTGACAGCATCCTGAAATTTTCATTGCAGCCTGTAGTATTTGCAATCTGGTATTTGGGTTCTAAAAGTTGAACAGGGAGATTCAGCAAGTTTACAAAACAAATCTTCACTACTCCCTTGCCACTATCTTCCAAAGTAAGTATGAAATAAACGGGCTTTACAAACGACTTTGATCCTATAGAATGTCTGCTGTCAACAGAAACAACTCAACACGAGCCATAAAGGTTTTGAAATGATTGGACAAACTGAAGGGTTGTTTACAGAAATGGTTAATAACTGAGAAGGAAAGGAATAAAAAAAAAGCGATGTTTACACTGTGACCTGGCACAAACAGTTACCCCCAGAAGAGTCACTTCTTTCTGGTCTTAATGAAAATGGTTTGCATTGTTTAGGCTGTTCAACTGTGCTAAGAAAATTCTGTTGTCAAAGAGCAAAGGACAGTTGTACTTACCTGTGTGTGCGTGTATGTGTGTGCGCGCGCGCGCGCAAAGGAAAGTTGTACTTACCTGTGTGTATGTGCGCGCAAAGGAAAGTTGTACTTACCTCTGTTTGTGTGTGCATACACACTTACTTGGGGGGGGGGGTATTTTATATGTGTGTGTGTGTGTGTGAGAGAGAGAGAGAGAGAGACTGTCTGGCCCTGAAAGAGTGTGTACCGCAGTAGTGGAATCAGACCGAGATGTGTTGTTTCCCCCGTTGGACTCCCGAAGGGATTTTATTTGCACTGGAATGACTTTGAAAGAGTGAATGCATTTATTGATATTGAGGCTGTTTTCTCCGCACTGTTTGGATTTCCCATCGCTGCTTTGATAGACTCCCCTTCCCCCACCCCCCAGTGGACCTGCAGTTATAGAGGAATAAAAGGGAAATAATACGGAATTATGAAATGGCTCAGGGAATGCTGCTACTTCCTCACTTGGGTGCATGTGAGATGCGAGAAACTCAATAAAATCTTTGGCTGAGGACTGGAGTGGAGAAACCATTGTGAAGTACAAAGGTTTCAGGAAACTGTCCTCGACTTTGGCTTTCATTAGGTCCTGCGTTATTTAACTTAAACAGTTTTGACAACAACCTGCCAAATTTACAGCGGAAATAAACACTGGAGAAGAGGGGAAATCAAATAATCAAGCCTGCTTAGTAACCCAGCATTTGTCAAGGGTACGTGGAAGCACATCTACAACCTTGGGCATGCAAGAAATCACTTGTCAAATGAGAAATTCAACAAACATGAAGTATATATATTTGTACGCACGCGCGAAGCTTTCTCGTAAGATATATAGTGTATGTATTTATGTATGGAGATAATGTACACATGGGGAATTATATATAAAGTTGTACTACCCAGGGTATGGCTCGTGTCTTTGTGTCTATACTATCGCATATAATCACGTCTCACTGAGGGTCGGTTTCCTTTGGGGGGGGGGGCATGTAGACAAGGTTTAATCACATAACTGGTGCTCTCCGAGCGAGCCTAGGGGAAGCTGGTCTAATTGGAGTTTCCGCGCAGCTTGCCTGCAATGATGAATGAGGCTCTAGCTAAAGCAGGCAGCAAGTAATCTATAGGAATGCGTCTCCTTCCTACGAAGGATGCAACTGACTGCGAATAGTTTGAAGGGTGGTGGGTGGGGGAGGTCCTGTGGAGCATCTCTGTATTGCAGAGGTTTGCGTTGGGGTCCTGTCTGTGGTACAGCTTTAAAACCCAGTCTGGTTTGCCATAGGTCGGCGCAAGGCGCATGCGCACCTCCTAAAGTTTTTCGGCCGCCGTTGGCCGTATAACTTTTCCGTGCACTGTTCAGAGGCAGGGCGACGAGGAGAGCCGCGAGCGATAGAGACCTAGGGGAGGGGGGGAGCGGGCTGTCTGCGGCGCGCGGGGACCCAGCCGAGAGGCGCAGGAAGGAAACGCCGCGGCCGCTCCAGCGCTTTGCCACCGCTCCGGGTCCCGCCTGTGTGTAACTTGTGCCCGGCGCTGAGGGGCTTTGCCCTGCAATGGATTGGGAGAGTTACAACCCCTGAGCCCGGGACCTTCTCCCCCCCCTTCTTCCCCCAGCTCCTCTTGCCCGAGTCCCCGTCTGGGCTGCAGGAAAAGCCGCCCCCTCTAAGACGCGCATCCCCCTCCCCAGTTGCGCCGAAGAGTCAAGTCCGGCTTCCCCCTGGGTTTAAAATGGAGGGACGCAGCCCGCGGATGGCTCTGCAGCCCCGGACACCCAGCTGCGCGGCGCCCAGCCTTTAGGGGTGCGGGGGGGATTCCTGCGCTTCCATTCACGCCCCTCTCCCGCACGGAGTTTCGGCAGGGGCCGCGCCGGCCGAGAGCGAGCCAGCGAGCTAGGAAGCGAGCTCCTCGGGGGGCTGCTGGGGAGGGAGCGGCGAGCCCAGCTCCGGCGGCGGCTGCACCACCTGGGCTGGGCTGGTGGAAAGGATCGTAGCCCAGGGCGCTTTCGCTGCAGCAGCTCGTGAAGATTGTATTTGTGTCCCAAGTGTTTCCGCACGATCACGCCCACGGGGCGCCGCGCGCGCGCGTGTTTCGCTGGAAAGCCCTAATTACTGCGATTGCTGATGGACCTTGGAAAGGAGCCTGCCCTGGTGCCCTGCTCCGCACTGGGAGCGCCCGCGCCGGACAGAGGTCTGCGTCTGCCTGGTGTCAGCTCGCCGGGCCCCAGCGCTCCCCCTCTCCGGGCTCGCTCCCTTCCTGGCCCCTGGCAGCCGCCGCCGCCCGCTGCTTTGGAGGATACCGCATAGCTCCTGTGATCCCGGATTTACTCTCGCCGCCTCCTCGCCCTTTCTCCCCCGGTCCCCCCTTGGATTACTTGGCTGCTCTCGCTCGGCGATTCCCCTTGCAATGGAGGTGAGTCCTAGGCTGGGATGAGGGGCTGCTTGTTAAGACGCTGAGCTCGCTTGTGTGAGTCCGGGGGGTGGAGAATTTACATGGATTTTGGTAGTGAGATGTGTGGGGTTCTCCCCCTACCCCCCACACAGACAGCCTTGGCGACCCTCTGTCTCCCCCCTCTTCCCAAACTCTAAGCTTTTTCACTCATCTAGTCCTGCTGGAGATCTGTGGGTCTAAAATACCCCACTTCTTACGGCCAAATTGCCCCCTGCCTATCGTGAACCAGTTTCTTTTAAAGTAAGCGAAGAGTCTTTAAGACTCTTGTTTTAATTCAGCTCTCCAACGCTGTGCATCTTTCTTGCAGCCTCTAGTAGCTGAAGTTTTAAAGACCTCTTTCCGGACTTCATTTCTGGGGAGAATAGCCATGGAGGAGTGAGAGCAGGCAGTAATGGAGGCCTGTACCTTTAAGGAACTCTGGCTCAAGGCCAGTTTAGAACCTGGCTTTTTTTCCCCTTCCCCCTTTTAGTTTTATTCTAAATTTTGGAGATTGTCACTTGGCATCTGTAAAGGATTCTGCTGCTGGGGTCTGCAAAGGAGAAACGAGGTTTTTCGGTGCCCCTTTGATGCTCTAAGGACACCATGTTGGAAAGTCTGTTAGTTAGTTTGTTTGTTTTTAATTGTCAATTGCATGCTAAATTAGTTACACTCGGAGGGTCACGGAAAGTTCAGTTTCTCTGAGAAACGAATCTTTTCTAAGTTCATTCAACTTTGTCAATGTAAAGTACTGGAATGTACTTTAAAAAAATCTAGGGAAAAAACCTTTCTCCATGAATTAACTGTATACATTGGTGTCTGAGTCAGAGTAAGTGGCTTTTTCTATAAACTTGAACCCTACAATCTTTCAATACACGTACCCCTTTTTATTGAAAACCACTGGAGGGAAAAGGGGTGGCATCGCTTTTGTAAATCGTTTGCTTTGAAACCACAGAGCAAATCAGTATACAGCAATCGTGTCTGCATTTTACAACCCACTAGCGCCGAATGGCTCTCTGGGTGCCTACTTACCAAAGGCAGTGCTCACATAAAAGCTACCATAAAACCAGATGCCTGAACAGGCTTTCCAGACACCCTGTGTAAAAACAGGATCACAGGCGATTCCAGGGCTGTGCTGAATCTGTAAGAGTCCATTTTCATCTTACCGAAGAGCATACTGCTCAGTCCCCTTCTCTCCCTCCTGCCCCACAAAGCGCCTTACAAAGTTCAACTGGTGTGTAAGACTTTGGGGCTGATAGTTGGTACTTCCAGGAGTTTGGTGATGGCAACTTGTTAGCTGCGTGATACTGAAGTGACTGCAGCAGCGGAGACTGACCGTAACTTCACCGATCGCAGGTGTCTCTTCTCTCTTTCTCGGGCTTACTTCTCAGACTGGAGTCCTAATAAATGGTTAAAATTAAAAAAAAAAAAAAAAAGTTAGCGATGGAGCTCCTCGCCGAACCAGGCGTCAGTCCTGGCGGGGGTTCTGGCGGCTGAGGCTGCCCCCTGTCGGGAGAAGGGCTGTATGACTCCCCGAACGGGTGCCGCCCGGTCCAGGCGAGGCCCGCTTCGTTCCACTCCACCTAACAAAACCCGCCTGACTCCACTCTTCCGACATCGTTCCGGGCTGTGTGTGAATGACCTAGTGTCTGACCAGCAAAGTGTAATAACCGCCCCATGTAAACACTCCCCAGCCGCGCAGTCGGAGTACAGGCCGGAGGGTTTTGAGCCAGAAGAAAATGTTTCCAGCGTCCTAACCTTCCTTTTACACCCTCCCTCTCTTTTATTCCTGAAACCCAGCCTTAACAACACACCTACGGGACAGCGCTGCTTGCACTAGGGCCATTGTGCGTGAGACCCTTCGGAGTGAGAACTGTTACAGGAGGGGGGAGCTGCTACTCCCTTCTTGACCTTGCCCCAGATGTTTACTCTTTGGGATTTTTCTGGCTCTGCGGGGTTTTGATTGTAACTCCTTTCTGAGCGCCCCTCTAAGAGTCGTCTAAGGCCTGGCTCTGCTCACAGTGGTTCTCCTGTAGGTGCGCACTCCCCCATGCGAGCCTGGCCCGTTATACGCCGGAGGACTGGCTGCTTTTGCTGGCTATGCAGAGCCTGGGCTCTTGATTCCATGAACCAGTTGACTTGTCAAAAATTTGCAGTTGTGACGCTTAATCTCCCTGCTGCAGAAACGCTCGGGAGGGTGTCACTGGCAGTAAGGATCAACTTCGGTTTCCTGGGTGTACTGCTGCCCACGGGCTGAATCCTCTTATAACCGCCCGCATTGTCCCCACAAAGTTCCATTTCTACCCGAAATGATATACACACCCGCTCGTTTCACATCTGCGCTACAGATGCTTGCGAAGACAAGTGACTAGTAACTGAGTTGGAGCAATGTCTAATTAGTTGCTGTCAGTAGGAGCCGATCAATTAATTAGGTTTCAGTTTGTATCCCTTTCTGGGCATCGAAATATCCAAATTCGTCCAAACCCCTATTTCGGGTGTCTGAGTCCAGTGCCAATCTTGCGAAGTTAGCTTATGGTGCATAAATCATTTTACGATTTTCTAAGCTGCTGCTAAAAAGCACATTTGACTTTAATCATTACGGTGCCCTCCGCAACTGTCACTTATACACACATTAATTTCCCCAGATTTAATTCTTGTAATTTAGGAGAGGCCAATCCGAGTTCTAAATTTACATATTTTCTTTGTCATATTTTTAAAACCTTAGTACAGTATTTAGTGCACTGAGTGACTTGCTTGGTGTGAAACGCGAAGTGGGTGGTGGAACCCATTTACACCTAGGAAGAGATAGCAAGCGGATCTAAAGTCCCTAGTGCTACAGCCCTGCATCCCAAGTGACAGAGAGAGTGTGGATGTAACAAAGCTCATCACACGCAGGCATGGGCATGGGGCTGTACACTAATCCCAGCTTTCTGTGCCCTTGAATGCTGTGTGTCCGGGCAGCTTTTATGTTATCATCGATTTCCTGTGTGTTGCTATGACAATTCTTCTCTCTCTCTAAATGCCTCCCCAACGGCCCCCCCCAAAAAAAAATTCAGGAAGAATTAAAAGCACCTTTAATTCACTACTAACGTTTTTGAGAATGAATAGGGAGCCCCCAAGTGTTGAACTGCCTTTAAAAAAAATTAAATTACTCTCCTTACAAGTCCTGCCTTATGAACTAAAGCCCGATCGAGTAACCTATTTACTGGAAGTGTTTAACTTATTAATTGGCATCGATATTTTATGCGCGGGCAGAGACCTTGGGATGTAATAACTCACTCCAATTTCTGCTTGTACATTTCCGTTTACCATTGGCTTTTCTGCTGCGCGCATTGGCCGCTCTCCCCTGAAACCTTGTAAAGGCAGAGAGTTGGCTGCGCTCGTGGAAGGGGAGTTTATTTAAACACAAAACAAAAACACAGGGCTGGATTTATGGATTTCAGAGCAATGCCCTTTTGTAACTCAGGATTATTTCAGCCTATTCAGGCGAGGTAGGAAAAACTGGATAAATCCAATGGAAACCCTTCGGCACAAAGTGTTTAAAGCCATCAGGGGAGCCCTTGCTTTTCTCCGTCATGCTGAGCAGGCAGCAGTCGGGGGGATTCTGATCCCTAGCGAACTCCGTGCGTGACTGCGCCTGACAATCCGGATTCTCCTCCCTTCATACTGTTGGGGAAAGTTGAAGGTTTTCCTGTAACAAAGAAATTCCCTTAATCTGTGGGCATGAGGCTCTCCTCTTCGTTCCCACTTCAGCTCCTTCTGAAAACCTTAACCCCCCTATTAGGCAGCTGGGAGTGTTTAATAGCAATTAGATCCCGGGCTAATAATACCCATCCGGAGCAAGGCCTCTGCCGGCGATTCCAATCGGCAATCGGAGTGCGCTGAGCTCCGGAAAGCGGCCCGCTTTCTTCTCCTCGCCTGGGCCGGGAACAGGACGGGCTCCGCCAGCCCGCGCAGCCGCTCTGCATCCAGTCTCCAAGTGCGCGCAGTGTCCTGCAACCCGCGCCCCGAGGGAGCCTCTGGCGCGCCACTCCGCCCACCCTCGGTGGGTGCCCCAGGAGACGGGAAGGCTCCTTCCCGGGCTGCGTGCCCCCGCCAGCCCCCTGGCACTGCAGGTGCTCCGCGCCGGTCAGTCCCAGCCTCACCCCCAGCTAACCCACCCGTCACTGAACCAAACCGTTCCCAGGCTCCACTAGCCGCGGAGCTCAGCGCCCAACTCCCCTGGGAGCTCGGGCCCCCAGTGTCGGCGCTGATGAACGGGGGCTCCCCTGGCCCTGGGTCCCGTTAGCGGCCTCTCCCCCCGGAGTGGATCGTTGGCTCCTTTCCTGAGAGCCGGCCGGAACTGGGCTTGCGGGGCGCCCGGTCACTCGCTCTGAGTGCGCTCCCCGGGCTGCTGCCGGGCGAACCTGTGTCCCAGCTCCGCGCTCCCTCTGCCCCGGGGGCGGATCTGCCGGCTCTTCCCGCAGGGGGCTGGTCTGAATGGACTCCTGTCGCGGCGCCGCCACCTCCCCAGTCCCAGCGCCGTGTGGTCACTCCCCAGTCCCGGCGCGCTGGCGAAGCTGGGATGAGGTCCGCGGGGCAGGCGGAGACACAATCCCGACCCACGGGCGCTTCGTCTCCTGGCAGAAGAGGCAAACCCTCCCCGACCTCCAGCTCCCATGCGCCCTACTTGTAGTGACGGCGCAACGCGATCCTGTTTCCCTCCGGATGGTGAAATCAAGCGGGAGAGCCCCCCACGCCGGCATCTTATCCCGTGCTGCTTGGTGCCTTTCTTAGCTCCCCGCCCCACCTCCGGCCGCAATCAGATTGGGGATCCCTGGAGGGCCCAAATATCTGTCTCCCAAATGAGGAGAATCGAACCCCCCCCCTTCGGGTGAGAGAGGCATTTCGAGCTGGGAAGGAGAAACACGCGTCGCCTGACAACGGAATGAGCTTTGCTCGGACGAACTGCCTCGTTGGTTCTCATCTAGAAGCAGCTCCCAAAATGGCCCATAAAGGTGTCATTTGTGTGTGGGGGTTGGGGGCCGGGGAACATCCATTGTTAGTTTGGAGTTAATGTAACAGCTGAATCTCCCTGCCCTCCCCATTCCCAAAACACCCCCGCAACTTGATGCATCATCTTCACTTTGCCCTTGATGTGTTTGCTCCACTTGTTGCTTCTCCCCTGTCCGGGCACCCTGTAGACTGCTCCTAGAAGAATGAAAGTGGAGTAAGTTTTTGTTTTGTTTTGTTTTGTTTTTGCTGCTGTTAAAGTGTGTGACTGAGAATAAGGGATTTTTCTAAGAGATTGGGTTTGGCACTGTGCTTTGATTCAACGGCACTGAGACATGTCTGTAGTCGCTGGGCAGCCCTATAAGCAGAATCGCAGTGAATAAAATTTCCTTGTCAGGTTGCGTGGGTGGACTAATTTGGACTAGAAATTGCCTGCATTTTGCCACCAAAAACTCACTTGAGAGAAGGGCAGTCAGTCAAGAGTCAACTTAAAAGGGACCCAGGATACCTCCCTTGTTTAAACTTGTATGCTTGAAAATGATCTGAGAAACAATAAACAATCTGTTCCTTTTATTTCTCCTCCAGACATCCATTGGAATATTAGTCCAAGGAGGTGCTTTGGGGACAGTTGGCAGTGCAATGGCTTCCAAGTACCTCATAGTGGTTCTGGCCATTTTCTCCTCTTTCGCCCAGGTTGTAATAGAAGCCAGCTCTTGGTGGTAAGCATCTTAAAATATACTGACTTTATTTAAAAGAATATATTTAATTTGTTTGGTTTTTATATATCTTATCTCTTCCTAGGGAAAGTGCTGTATGAATAGGAGATTTTTAGCAATACTCAATTTCTGAGATAACTGTAAATCCAAAGGAAATTTATTTTCGCCACCATTAAAGTAGCAAAATTAAATTTCTAAATGGGTCACTTAAAATCTCATTCTACAGGGTCTGAAATAACAAATGTAAGGGAAAGCACTGAATTCCATGTACAAAATATTTTACCCACAGATTTTTTTTTTTAATTTAAACAACTTTCTAAATAGACCCAGGAGCTGAGTTTATATTTCTTGTAGCTGTTGGGGGGGGGGGGGGGAACTCTAGTTAATATCTGGATTTTTTTAATGTTTCTATTATTTGGGGATTTTTTTTTAAAGCAAAACCTCTGCTCTCTCAGTTGAACACTTTCTGACTAGCAGTCCTGTTTTAATCATGTGAAAGTACATATGGACCTCTTTTAAGAATTGGGAAAACATGATTAATTTTGGTTAGTGTCTGTACGTGCCTCTGTATCTTTTCTATCAGTTAGAAGAAGCTAGTAGTTGTCTGTAACAGCATCTAGCAGTTGGTACTTAAGGATTTCCTTATTTTCTCATAATTGTGAAGACTGAAAGTTGAGGTTGAAAATTCTAAATCGTGTGGTATGCTTGGGAGTTGTTTTGTTATTATTTTATGCACTTCTATGGCCAGACAGTTGCTTGGGACTTCTTGTAACTTTACCATGCCCACAGAAATTTGTAGGGATGGGGTGAAATTTGAATCCTGGCATTCAGGTACATTGAAGACTTGGCAAAGACAGTCACTAAAGCCTGCTGCCATCATTCTATACATGTGGCCAGCTGTCTTCTGTACAGCCTTTAAACAAGAGTTGGATGATTTTCATTGTTGTTCAAAAGTTTTCCTCTTGGTCACAAGAACAGGAGTGGGTAGATTTATACTCTAATATTGTATTTGTCCTCCCAATGTTAATCTAATTCTTTCTTTATGCAGGTCTTTAGGTATGAATCATATGAATCCTATGAACCCTGTTCAGATGTCAGAGGTATATATAATAGGAGCACAGCCACTATGTAGTCAACTAGCAGGACTTTCCCAAGGACAGAAGAAACTCTGCCACTTGTATCAGGACCACATGCAGTATATTGGAGAGGGGGCAAAGACAGGCATTAAGGAATGCCAGTATCAGTTCAGACACAGAAGATGGAATTGCAGCACTGTGGACAACAACTCTGTTTTTGGCAGAGTCATGCAGATAGGTAGGAAGCAAAAACTTTCTGATCAAACTGTTGCCTAAGAATGTGTGTAATATTTACTTAATGTTCTGTATTAGACACTGTTGCCAAGTCCTTAATCTGTGTAATTATAGCTGACAAAAAAACCCTATTTTTAGTCAGAGTTGATTTTCTGCTTGCTCCCACCCCTCAAAAAAGTGAAGGCAAAAAACCATCTGAATACAAGAATGCAGTAGGAAAGAAAAAGTGGCATTAAAATACTCTAACTTTAAGGAAAAAACTGAAATAAAATAATGGTATGTTTAATACTAACTAAAAAGTAGTAGTGTGTGGCAAAAATATCTGGGTTCCAAAATTGCTCATGCTGTGTAATAAATTAATTTTATGTAGCAGTTAACTGACATTCTCCATAGTGTTTATAAACAATGCCTTCTCATTTACTGCCAGGTGTGGCAAAATCCTTCTATGGTTTAAAGAAAGTTGGCTTTATAACAGAAAGCAGCTCTATAATCCATACAAAATCATTTTTATCAGGACAAAGTGTACTTGTAATTTATGTTACATATAATAACATAGCTGTTAGGAAAGGATATTGCAAAGGAATCTGCCTATCCCAGTGTGCTGGAGTCCCAACCTCTTTCCTGTTAAATCCGTCTAAAATTCAATTGTTCCATGCAACCCACATAGTACAAATAGTTCTTATAATTTAGGGGCCCGATCCTGTTCCCATTGAAGTTTATTGCAAAATTCTCATTGATTTCAATGGTACAGGATCAGGCCCAAAGATGTACCTTTCCTCTGAATTTTTCAGTCTTTATCTACTGAATCCCTAGCCAGAGGAATCTACTTTCTGTCGTCTTCTGTGTTTTATATAGCATTTGTACTGGCACTTAATCTCAACATTGCTCTAGCTCATAGCTTGTGCACAGTAGCTTTTTAATTTGAGATCTAAATTAAATCCTTTTCCAATGCTTTCCTATCCTGTTTCAAAAAGAATGGTTTAAATTACATTAAAAACAACTTTATTTGTAAATTGCTTAGCCCTCGCATAGCTTGAAGGAATACTGTCAATTACATTTGGCCCTAAACTTAACTTTTTGTAAAAATAAAGCTTTTATAAAACCTGAAATGAATAGAAAAGTGCCAGAGTTTAAAAATATCCGAGGAACAGTGTCTTTTAAACAAATAGACGTTCCCCGGGCTTTTTTTGCAACCCCAGCATTGAGAACTTAAAAACTAAACTCACCTCTCATTGTTCAAGCTGAGCAAGATCCAAAAAAGCAAGATAAGCATGAAAAACAAATGTAACAGCCTTGAGACTTTTCAGCTTTAATCTTCTTGAGGTTACAACTAAAACCAGTAAAGAAATGTTTAAATTTCTGGCCCCAAACTTCAACCGTTATTACTCAGTTATGTTCAGCTGATTCAGTGGTGTGAATTAAGATGGCAGGATTGGGCCCATATCTGTGTTGCCAGTGTTTCCAGTATGAAAGGTTCACACTGTCAAGTGTCACACATCTGGTCCCAAGGGTTTATTACAAGTTGAAAAACTTTGCCCTCTTCACTACTATATGACTGTATTAATTAATATCTATGTAGCAATTTATCATGTAATTAAGCCACTTTTAGTAACTGCAGATACAACGGGGTGTATCCAACACATAAAGATCCTAAAAAGTGTATTAAGAACAAGAAAAGTATTGTTCTTTTATAGTTGTATTATTTTACATTTTGATGTGAAGTACATGGCAGGCTGTTGTTCCTCTTGAATAGGAGAAAAAAGTCTGAGGTCTGAGTCTGATTATACTTAAACCAGTGTTCCATTGGTAGAATCATTTGATTGTCAGTAGAGTTGCTCCTTATTCTCCCCGGTGTGAGATGATCATAACTGGATCCTGAGTCTGCAGAGTTTTGTAGGATTTTGTCATTTATGCTAATGACTGAAACATAAGTAATTCTGCATTGAGGAATCTTTTTAGAAAAGCACTGACTTGATAGTGTAATAAATACCACAGATCAACTATGTCCATTTATATTTTTTCTTCCAGGATTTATCAGGCAAAGTTATCTAAAGCTGTACCAATAAACCAAGCATTGAGTATAGAAACTGAATATATGGTTTACTGAACATTAAATTTACAGGGCTTTTATTCTGTTACCATAGCTTCCTCTCAGTTGATCATTTCTTAATTAGACTATTAAAATCCTGCTATATGCAATATATTGTGCTGTCCTTTAGTTTCTTAGTAGACCTAGAACTAAGGCATATTTGGACCCTATTTTAAACATAGGAAAGGAATATTAACATAAAACAAACTAAATGGATCTTTTCAACAACTGCATGGGAGAGAGGTGCAGTCTAATCACGTCTGCAGATAGTTTTGAATGCTCTTGAAATACAGGACAAAGAGAATGTTTTGTATCTTATGCCCAGATTTAGATAGATTTTGTTTCTTTAAATTTATTTTTCTGTGGCACTTCTCTAACCAGTAATATGTACATGGAACAATGTCCTATTTTTATGTTACATATGCAGGACATAGAGGAACTCAAACATGTTTAGATGGTGTGTTTTCTTGCAATGGCCACAATAGAGATGGATGTTGAAGAAATGTGGGAAAAGACAGACATGTTGGATGCTGGAGAAAAGCATGTTTGTGCCTAAATACTCTGGAAAAACTATTCCAGAGCAATTTATCCATGTGGAAATGTGACTCCAATAATGTTGCCAAAGTCAATGAGAGATAGGGTGATGTGTTGGATTAATAGTGGTTGTGCAATCTAAAACTGCCTGCCCTGACATCCGTTTCAGTGGATTAGCCAAATTTTGCTTTAACTAAAAAATGGAGTTGAATATATGCAGCTTGCTCTTTTAGGGACAATTTTCTCTCACTCATGTTCCCCTTTTCATACTCTTCCATCACATCCTTTCTTCCTTAAGGATTCCTTAAAAATGCACCAAGACCTTAGATTTAAAACACAGGTTTTTTTAACTTTATGGAGTACACAAGATAATTAATATGTGTAAACCTGAGCTAACCATACATTTTTCAAAAAAAGATCATAGACAAAAGAAAAAATTCTGCATTCCTTGCCTAGGCAAACATCCCATTAACTTGAATAAGGACTGCAGAATAAATCCAAAACATGCATTACAGTACAATCCAGAATTTAGCTTTAAAATCTGTTCTAGCAGTTCCTCCAGTTAATTTATGGTAAATGCAAAATCAAAAACATATAACACCAACATTATTACAACCCCATAGACTACTCTTGTGAACCTTTATACTCAGGAGTAACCCATAACCCTTGCAAGTAGTCTCATGAGTGAGTATCTGCTGGAATGGACCTAGCACTGAGGGGAAGGGTGGTTCTGATTCTACTATTTTAGAAATGGTCTTCCCCAGTATATGACCTCTGATTCTTTTCATTTAAAGAACATAAATTATTTGAAAAGGCAACAGTTGTTACATTAACAGCGCTGCTCTGAACATAGTGTTAGATCTATGTTAAATACAGATTAACTGTGAGTACTGTTCATAATATACAGTGGTGCCAACAGGCCTAAATCAGAAGTGAGCCTTTGGTGGCAGGCCCTGTACAAACAGTCCCTGCCTCAAAGAACTGTTATCCAAAAATCATATCTGACAAAACCATGATTTTTACAAAAATGTTTCTCCCGCAAGCTTGGTAAAATCAAGGTTTACCTAGACCAACTCTATTTTTGGACTAAAGAATAGAAGGAAAACTAACAGTTAAACCAATAGCTAGCTAACTTTGATTTTCAACTTCAAATTATGTTTTAGCCTGATCCAACAGTCATTTTAGTTGTCTTTCCTGGAGAAGGACTTCAGGCTTGAGCCTGTTATGATGAAAAGTAGCGGTTTTGGCCCTACTTCCTGATAAGAAGAAATGCAAACTTCCAGAAGGCTCTATAATGTTAGCCTTGTTTTCATGAAAGACATTTATTGTAAAATAGAACTCTTGCCATTCCTGAGATGGATGTAGCTGGGTTCTAGGTAAAAATGGATCAGGATGATGTCTTGTTGAGGAAGCTGTTAATGAATTTATCTTCCAGTGAGGATATCCTGTGACAAGCACATATGAACAAAGAGCTTTTTCTGTCATCACCTTGAATGAAACTTATTTATCTTAAAATGAAAGTTGGAAAAAATTGAATGTAAGGGAATCAGTCCTTGGCTAAAACATTTAATACACTCCTGTCCCAGGCTCGCTCTTCCCTGCAACTTATAGAAATGATTGGAAGTGGCTTCTTTGGCTGTATGAAATCTTCCTATTAGTTGAGTTATTATATCTTTATTTTTAAATAACCCTCTTCAAAGTTGCTGGCCAGTTTATGTGCAGGGCAGAGTATTGACAAGTGTCGTTCTGGTGTGCACTTTCTTTGACACCAGCAGGCTTTGTGAAATGCTGTAACTTTAAATAAATTGGAATAAATGAGTGAAGTAGATAAATCATGTTCAAGAAGTAGTAATTTAAGGAACAGACTTCTAAAAGTTGTATTTAGCATCTTTAAAAAGAGAAGATGGGAAGCAGCCAGGCTCTCTAACCCCTGGACACAATTATTGTTGGAACCCATTGCTAAACATACTCCTAGGGCCTGATTCTCCTCTCAATTGTACCATTGTTGCGCCACAGTGTTCCCTGGTGAAAACCAGTGTGAGAGGAGAATCCAGCTCCTGCTCTTCATAACTGAACCTCCACTTTCTGTCATTGATTTGTTTGCTTTTGCGGGGGGGAGGAATAAAAATATTTCCATGGAGACCTCTTAGGCTAAAGCACACTTCAAAACCCCATGAATTTCATATATAGCATTTCCCCATGCCCTGAACTGAATGTCATAGAACATGTGCAGACTTGCCTTTAACACTTGCTTTCTCTTTCCTTGCAGGCAGTAGGGAGACTGCCTTTACTTACGCAGTCAGCGCTGCCGGGGTGGTTAATGCAATGAGCCGCGCCTGCCGAGAGGGGGAGCTCTCCTCCTGTGGCTGCAGCAGAGCGGCCAGGCCCAAAGATTTACCCCGGGACTGGCTGTGGGGTGGCTGTGGGGATAACATCGAATATGGCTACCGCTTCGCCAAGGAGTTTGTGGATGCTCGGGAGCGTGAGAGAATTTATCAGAAAGGCTCTTACGAGAGTGCTAGGATTTTGATGAACCTACATAACAACGAGGCTGGAAGACGAGTAAGTGGCTGAGTGGCTCCTTCCCCTTGCCCAAAGCAGCCTGCCTGGGAAGGGACACACCTAATTAATGACAGAGAGATAAAGAACAGTGGCATGGATAACTTTCTCTGAAGGTCCTTAGCTCATGCACGTGTTGGTTTTTCAAGGAAATATTTTCTTTCCCTTTCTTAGTCCCCAGTGAAATCTGCTGGTGAGCTCAGAAATCAAAACCTTTAATATTTGGCCTTCTTCAAATGCAGGGGGAAAGCGTGTGAAGTTGGGTTTAAGTATGGGGAGGGGGAGAGAGAGTGTGTGTATATGAGTATTCCTGAGTGACAACATTACTGCCATTGGGTTTTCCGTTCCCTACCCCATAGAATCAGTGGGAGAGCAGCATATCTTGTCTTCCTCCATGTTCTGTTAGTTACAACCCTACAGTTCACTGTGAGTTTTCTGCAGAATAGAGTTTTATTGGTTTATATTTCCAACCAATCCAATTTGCTTTGGAGGGAGAAGAGAAGCACCAAACTCCCCAGAGCGGAACGTTCTTGCAGAGTTAACATAATTTCCCCCACCCCTTTTGAGGATGTGAAAAGCTTATGATTAGAAAAAACCCTCCTCTGTGGTGAAAAGTGTTTTTTGTGGCTTATTTATCTTGAAAATGCCTTAAATGAATAGGTGTGTACTTTTTTTTTTTTTTTACAATATTATGAACTCAAAGAGCCAAAGTCGTTATTTTCCTAGAGCCTGTGGTGCCAGAAATAGTCTGCTGGAGACTACTCTTGGGTTTGAAGGTGAGGACAGATGAAAGATAATTGAAAATTAATATTATTTAAATGTGAGAGGAGGGTATGAAATATGAAAGCAACGGAAAGGTCAGTTTACTACTAGAAAGAAGAAAAATAACTTTCACAGTTGTCTACAGATACTCCAGCAGTTTTTTTCCCCCTTCCCAGCCTCCTCTTTGCAGTGCCATCTGGCAGCATCGAAACTCTTTTTAAATGTTGGGTGGAAGTTGCATAAAGTATCCACCTAATGTGTCAGACCCCAGGATTTTTGGGGCAGTGTCAACACTGACTCTTATTTCTATTTATACAGGGTAAATGACTGAGATCTTGCTGCCAAAGCTTTATAAAACGGATATTGCTGCGTAGGTCAGTCCCCCACCCAAAGGTGTTTGGGGGTTTCTTCTGGATGCAGTCTCTCTTACACAGCAGTATTTTGGATGGGAGGGTACTGCTGAGCCAAGAGCAGACAATCAGCTGCCGCACAGCCTGTAATAGAAGAAATCTTAACTCCTTTCTCCAGTACAAGCCTCAAACTGAGATTAGTTGAGAGAGTAAAAATAAAATAAAGGGCTGTTTGAAATTTCTCAATGAAACAGCAAAATCCTTTCCCCTGCAATAGGGCAAATTCCTAAAATTGAATGCAACATGAATGATTCTACTGAGGACTTGTGTGCACACTTGGGGGGTGTGTGTGGTGTGTGAGAGGGGGGTTGAGAGCTCACTCCCTTTGGTGTGGGTGGGGGAGGGAAAGTAGGGGTGTGTTAGGGGCTCTCTTCCCATGTGTGTAGGGGTGATGGGGATGTTAAGCGAGGGGGGAGGGGTGAGCGCAAGCTATGTAACAACCACATTGACACCTTTGTTTTCCCTCTTCCTCTTTTCTCTCACTTAGACTGTGTATAACTTGGCTGATGTGGCCTGTAAGTGCCATGGGGTGTCTGGCTCTTGCAGCCTGAAGACCTGTTGGCTGCAGCTGGCTGATTTCCGCAAAGTGGGCGATGCCCTGAAGGAGAAATATGATAGCGCTGCTGCCATGAAACTCAACAGCCGGGGCAAGTTGGTGCAAGTGAACAGCCGCTTCAACACGCCCACCATCCATGACCTGGTCTACATTGACCCTAGCCCCGACTATTGCGTGCGCAATGAGAGCACCGGCTCCCTGGGCACCCAGGGCCGCCTGTGCAATAAGACCTCAGAGGGCATGGACGGCTGCGAACTCATGTGCTGTGGCCGGGGTTATGACCAGTTCAAGACAGTGCAGACAGAGCGCTGCCACTGCAAGTTCCATTGGTGCTGCTATGTGAAATGCAAGAAGTGCACAGAGATCGTGGACCAGTTTGTGTGCAAATAGGGGGTGATGAGGTGGGAGGAGCTTCTTCCGCCTGCCAGCAGGGGTGCTACCCCCAGGACAATCTCCACTTTATTTATAGAGTCCAATGATTTTTTTTTTTTTTTTTATAAAGGTTACAAAAAGAAGTGACTGGAACCTTTTCTGCACCCATCCTAGGACTGTGTGTGGTTTATATTTTTGGCAACAATGGGGGAGAACCCAAGAAAATATTTATTTTACCCCAAAAAAAAAAGACTTTAAAAAAAAATAGTGTAGTTTGAAGGGAAATCCAACATATTCTAACTTAGTCCCATGAGTCATAGTACATGTGCAACCGGCAAAGAATTCTGAGGTGCTTGGGATCTGAGAATGATCCTTATGAACACAATAACCCACAAACCTGTGGATGATTTTAGCTTCAGTGACCAAAAGTAGTCTGATAGATACATACAAAGTTGATCAATATATCCAGGGGTCCATAAAAGGAGGGTTGGTATATCCACAGGAGGGCTCAGCACAAAGTTACTATGATGTCAATCACATGACTGCAAGGTGCTAATTTAAATGTGAGGTAATTAAAGTACGAGCGCATAAGACTTCTAAAGGGTTCAGCTGTGCTATTTAGGACCTAAAGTCTTGGGTCCAGTAGCTAGCAAGACCAAGAAAAAATCTGCCTTGATTGACGCTAAAGGTGTACATCAAAGCAGGATGTGACCTATCAGCTCTTCATCTAGTTATGTATGAAGTGTGAGTATTCCATCTTAGCAAGCAATGCCTTACTGATAAAGAATATCAGGAGCAAGTGACCTCTGAATCTCACCGAACAGTGTGCTCTGGTCTGACCCAATAGAAATTGCACCACTGCAGCTGTTTCACTGTCCCACTCTCTGGAAAGCCCTTTAGGAAACAGAATTCCCCTAATTTGAAATGCCTTTTTTTAAAAGAAGTCGTGTGATAGCTGGCCAACTTTCAAAACACAGCTTAGTAAATAACCCCTCTTATCCAAGGAAATTAATAATTAACCATCAATCATTCTTGAGATGGTCGGTTTATTGTGGATTTTGGGAAAGCTTTGACTTGAGGAGACAATAGTTTCATCTCTTAATGATGTTAAGTGGCTATTTTAGTTCAATGAAATATTGCAGCAATGCCAAATTTATCTTCTGATGTCTTCAGTACACGTGCTTTAGATAATATATTGCAGGTATACACTAAAACTGTTCAGACTATACTTGAGCAGTTACATATATACGGGAAAACTGTGGTCTGCTGGTGTCTGATATTTCAGAGCTTTTTGTACATATATATTTCAATACAGCCAGTGATTTTTATAAAACTGCTAAAGTTACAGAGGCAGTTCATCAGTTAGGAGCATATTATTCCCCCATTTCCTTTTACAAATCACTTTTAGGATTTTTTTTATACTGATTCTAGCATTCTTGGTGTCATAACACAAAGGTTTTTAAGAATACTTTAATCACAAAGAATAAGCCTTTTCTTAACCTAAGGGGGCTTCTTGGGCTACAGGTAGAACAGATACCATGCACTTGAATTCACACTGGTTTGGAGACTGCTTCTCTCTTCCACTTTCCTACAAGGGCATTATTGATTATCATTGACACAGAAACCTTAAAATTCCCTAGCACAAACTCTATTTGGCCCTTCGTTTGTTTTAAGGTTTTTTTAATTTTTTGAGATGGAAATCAGTACCTACTACAGCAACTTCTTGCGTTTTCCCCAATACAGTGTATTTACAAAAACACAGTTAGCATTTGTCATTGGTTCAGAAACCTCACCCCAAATCATTTCCATCCCATAAATTAAACAAATTGGCATTCAATATCAAACAAGTAAAATCCTCTGCTTTAGCTTAGTCATACTAAAGCCTTAACTTCTCACAAGCCTATAAGCTGTTGCATTAAGTTCATCTTGATCATTTATCAGCTTTTTAAATGATGCTTTATTGCTCTTAATTTATTAAGAACATATTTACCCCTCTCTTCCAGATGTTTGCAAACAAAGTATCTTAAAATTAAAAAAGGCACTACTTCATTGAATATGTCACTTTTGGTTTTTATTATACAAAAACCATAGTCCTTTTTTATTTGCTGAATCACATCTTGTTCCTTTTTTAGTGACTCGTGTTTGTGAGCAGAGCTGAGTCTAATGATCCTAGCTTTTAAAATACTATTTAATGTAAAATATTTTACTTGTCATTCAGATATTATGTAAATCTTCTATGTCATTTCCTCTGTTTGTTCTGTACATTTAATGTACATATTTCTGTCTTGCGTGATTTGTATATTTCACTGGTTTAAAAATTTTTTTTGAAAGGCTTTACGCCATAATGGAAGATAGACTATAAAAATAAAACTCTGGTCGTATGTTGGGAAGTGGTTTTAATTATCTTTCAGAGGAGGATTTGTTAAAACAATGAAAAGGTTGACTTTTAAAAAATTTACTCTGTGGTAAAACAAGGAAGTGACCCTATGCCAAACACACAAAGTATAGCTTGAAATTTTATTTCTATATTAAGAACGCTTACCGATGTAACAACTTTTTTGGGAAAAAAACCTTATGACTCTGTGCACCACAAAATATTCTGTAGGTGGTTAGGAGCCTAGCTGACAAGTGGCCAAAAGAATTGAATTATTGAACAGTTATGCATGTAGCTTTCAGTGTTTTAGCGGTTTGTTTTGTTTTTAGCAGTTTTGGAGTCATGGGGGCCTGATCCTGGAAACCTTTTAATCCCGTGAATAGCTCTTACCTGAGAAGCCCTACTGGCTTCAACTGAGCTACTGGTGTGAATCAAGGCTTTATGCAGGAATAAGAGTTTGTAGGACCTGGGGACTTGTAGCTGGATTTTTGTTTTTTGTCTGACTAAATTTTTAGTCTAAAAAGCCGATTTTTCTATAGTTTCAATTAAAAATCAACGGTTCTGCCCAGACTTCTTGTCCTGAAGTTTGGAGTATGTATAAACATAGCAAGTGTCCTTTTTTAAAAGAGCACAATGAAATTTCACAAGCAAGGAAGTAAACTAGCAAAGGAAAACAAAAGTAAAAAGCAAAGCTGTCCTGAGACCAGCATCCTCTGAACTGATTTCCTGAATGTGCCTCTGAAATCTTTGCCACAGTGGAGAGCTTGATAAATTAGCACCCCCTCTTTTTTTTTCTTTTTTCGTTCCAGGATAACCTTCTAACATACTGAAACCCCTTCTTGGCTGCCAAGAATGTATTATCCCACAAAAACAGTAGACCAACATCTGTGTGTTTTAAAATAGCGATTCTGGGCAAATGCAAAGTTCTGTGGTCCTATTACTCACATCTGGTTCAGTTTTTCTTTAGTTGTATATTGACCAGTGTTCTTTATTGCAAAAACACAGGCCCTATTTAGAAAAGTCAGCATTTTTTGGACTGGATTATGTTCAAGCTCTTCCCAATAGCAGGAAAATTAACAAAAAAAAAATTGATTGGCAGCACCGAACAGCCATGTTCAAAATAGTCATGGCCTCTGACACAAGGGAGATTGCTTTAAGTTTCAGTGAAGTTTATCTGTTCAATTCTTTAAAGTGCTATTATCTTTTAGATGGACCCCTATATTTTTAGAAACCTTTTCACACCTTTTTTCTTATTGTGATGTTGCCAATACCAATTTTCAATCTGCTTTTGCCAAACATTATTCAAGCCATTGGTTTTATCAAGAAGTGTACCAGGAACAGGGAGAAAACTCAGAGGAGTGAACTGGAACAGAGGCAGGCAGTGTATGGAAATGGAAATCCAAAAGGTTTCCATCTCTATAGAGAAGCTTTCAGTTCTATGATGTCATACACATGCAACACAAGGGTTTGATACAAAGCGTGTAGAGTCTTTCCAGTGGACTTCAATGTCTTCAATGGACTTTAGCTCAGACTCCTTAAGAGAGAGTGCCTAAAAGTGCGCTATAAAACAAAACTTTTTATTGGGGGTGGGTCATATTATTTCTCAATGATCATTTTTGTATGAAACAGTGAAACAAACAAAAATAGTCTGTTTTTTAAAGAGAAAAAACACACACACACCCCAAAAAACCCCAAAGCTGTTTCTATAGGAAAAGTTACACAGGCTGGCATTAAAACCCAAGTTCTGAACAAATTTAGAGACATGATCCTAACGTTTCACCATCTAATAAAATCTTTCTTTTTCTCAGCACTTCTATCAACAGTCCAAATTAATTTCACTTTGAATTTAAAACTAGACTGGAAACTTTATTAATATTTAAATATAACAAAAGGTTTCTAGATTGTGATATTATTTAGTAAAACAAATCAATGACAACTGGATCCAGCTACAAAATTAAATCTCTGTTTTTGTTCATTGTCATGTACTATTTGTATTAAAACAAAATATTGTGTGTGCAAATTGGAATAATCTCTGGGCACAGGGAAAAAAGAGTGGAAGGCTTATGTATCAGCAGTGACATATGACTTATGTATGAACTCCTTTGAAAGCTGCAAACTTTGACTTACTTTGTTGAGCCAGCTCTGCGGTCGGTCCCAGCATTCAGTAATCTCTTCCTTTAATTCTCTTGAAACAGCATTTAAAAACAAAGAAAAATCTAATAAATGAAAATATAGGGGAGAACCATATAGAACCATACTCGAGGGTAGCATGTGACTTGGTAGATGTAGTTTAAAAAAATTGTGATTACAACCTGTAATTCTAATTTATTTCACTTTATCCACGTTTCTGTTACATGAGGGTTGTGTGCATTTGTTTATACTACTCTGACAGTTTGTATAGCTGTTGAGCCAAACTTTGTGCTCAGTGAGACCCATGCTATTGACTTCAGTGGCACTGCATGATCCTAACTGTGTTGGGAGCAGGAGGCTTTCCATATTGCTCTAAAGTAAGTGTGTGTGTGTGTGTGTGTGTGTAAACCACATACAGGTAACTAAATTATAAAAAGTCTTTGGCTGCAGCTGAGAAGCAATAATACAGAATGGTTGTATTTTCATAGTGACATTTCTCCCTCACCATAAACCACCCACTTAGTTATGTCCGATCCTGCCTATCATAGGGGGAAGTTTGGCAAGATTATATGATGCTTCTCACTTTTAAAATAGTTATTTCTCATATGCAACTTCAGATTCTTTTTTATAATTGAGAAAATTTTAGGTTCGGTTATCTAGGCAATGTGTCCGTTCTAAAAACTCTTAACTTTGTTTTTGAGTGATGTTGGCTAGGGCTTGACTAAGTTGGGTGGTGTGATGTTGTGAAGTTGCTTCTGCTAATGCTGTTGCCAAAACTTGGGACCTGAGGTAACAAGTACTGGATCATTTACAATCAATGTTGCTTTATGAGGTGTTGCCTCTCCCAGCAGTTCTGCTTTCTTGAGTAGTGATTGTACGGCAGTAGTCAAAATGTTCAGCTGATCGAGAACCCCTGAAGGCTCCTGTAGACAGAGTTACTCAAACATTTTCTGAACCAGTTTGACCCATTGCTGATTTATTCCAGATCCACTTTCAAGGACTTTAAAATATGCAAACGGAAGCGTAAAGTTTATAGCACTGCTCAACAGTTTCAGACAAGATGCATCCCATTCCAAAAGGGCTTCTTTATTTAGAATAATTTTTCACAGTCTTTTCATGAGAGAGGAATAGTGTGGATGACTGGCGACTGTTCCTGTGATATAGTTGTGGTACACACAGTGCAAAAGTAGCCTGTCTTCTTGTCTCCCTGGTCCCTAATGATTCTCCTCTGTGCAGGGTTGCCCTCCTCTAGAACCTTTCCCCCCGCCCACCACAGTCTTGTGGACTTTCCCTTTAAAGTTGGCAGAGCCAAGCAGCTGCTCCTCAGAAGTGACTATTTTGCTACTGGTTGCCACTTCCTGTGTCTCCTTCTCTTCCAGCTGGTAAGCACTCCTACCTCCTGGTAAGTTTTTCCTTTCTTATTCCTAAAGAGAATGGCACGTTCTCACAGTTTCTTTTCCCAAGTAAGGTGGGGTTTGCTTTCAATAACTACTGATCTCAGCAGAGATCCTGCTTGGTAAGCAAACATTTTTTAGGAATCCTCCAATGTCTCTTTACTTTGTAAATTGGCAGCCTTGCAAAAGTAAAGAGTAATGCTTGAGCAAATTTGAACTGACCACTACTTGGGAGTAAGGAGGGAGCGTTCAGTAGTACTGTAATTTACTGTCCAAGCTACAGGCTATAAAACTGAGCAAGTGAGAGATGACCCTGATTTGAGAAGATAAGAACTAGTGAATAAAGACAGTGGGTAAGTAGAGTCCAAATTATGTTATGCAAATATAGTGACTTAGTATGCCAAGCAAGGAATTGTCTCAGTCAAAATTGCCTATAAATTCATGGAAAACAGAGAAGACGTATAGTTCTGCAGCTCTGCTTTTTAGAGGGAAAGAATAATTCCCCCATTACTACTTTTCATATTCTTACATCGTACATTGATGGGTAAAGAGTCTGAAAGTAAATCAAGTCTGAGAAGTTAATGAACTGGAAGTATAACCATAACCAAAAAACAGGCCTGATAAAAGCCACTATAAAGAAGATAAACAATGCAAGATGTGGCAGACAAATATACTTTTCTTAAGAATTAGTGTCCCTGTTGCTCTCAAACAGACAACTGGTTACTTCTGTCAAAGACAATATATTCCTAATAATCTGCAGAGCTGTCTGATTTAAATACATAAGACTAGACAAATGCTAATGATGATAGGCTTTGAGTGGTTCCTGGATGGTTATATGCATTTTGCAGAAAGATGGTTACTTATGAATTCCTACAAACCTCAGTCTTCATGATGCTATGTTGACACCTAAAAATGGGGTGAAGTTAATTCTTTCTTTATTGTTTATATACATCATAAATTAATTTTGATTTGCATCACAAAAGGTGTCTTAGTCTTTGCCCTGAGCTCTCTGGTACACGTAAGAGGCCGTCTCAATGACCATCTACAACAAAAACTCCAAGCAAAATTCTGGCCTGGGTAGCTGCCAGTAGCGCTGTGTATGGCATGAGGAGTGTCAAGTGAAAGTTTTTTCACTCCTCCTTTGGATCCTGTAACCAGGCCATTTTGGGGGGCTCCTTGTGAGACAGGAGCTTTGGAATGGCA